ACAAGAAATGGATAAATTGGGTTGAAATTTTGCATATTATACTAAAGCCTCAGGCTGCCTCATCAAATCAGAAAACAAAAGCACATTTTATCATACATAAGCATAAGATAAGAGCTTCCCAGGTGGAGCTAGTGCTAAAGAATTCACCTGCCAATGCAGGAGACGTAAGAGACATGGGTTCAATCCCTGGGTCAGGACAATCTCCTAGAGGAGGGCATGGCAAACCACTCCAGTATTCTTGCTGGTGGACAGAGGAGCCTGGCAGACTACAGGCCATAAGGTCGAACAGAATCAAACACGACTGAAGTGACTTAGCATGCACACACACATGCAAGCATAGATAAACAACTATGAAGATTTTGACTTTAAAAATGCATTATTCACTTACCGTTAAATAACAGAGACTTCAACTAGTACAACTAAATTGTGAACTTTAGTTTGGAACCTCCCTAACCATCTCGTAAGAAAATACATTCATGACAGGGTCGATGCAGCAATGCTTACATGACCACAAAGTCAACTTGCATTCCCAAGTGACTGCATTTGTGCCAACTGATTTAAACTATGGTGGATTAGAGTGTGTCAAGTGTTACATTCAAACATGTTTTGAAATGTGAACAGGAACTAGTAAGTGAAGGACACTTTAAAATACTATTGAGTTTAACTTCTAGAATCAAAATCAAGCACAATGATTGGAAGATGGAAATAGTTTAATCACCTTGCTCGGCCAGTGGATGCTGGGGTGTGTGTAGAGAGGAACCACCTACAAAAACAGGTCTAAGAGTTTTAGACTGTGTGACCCATGCAAGTTTCAGGTGATAACACAAAGATAATCAGTCAAGCCATATTGTAAATGTCTAAGCGTCACTAACTTGAATATGCTAATTTAAGTTTATTATGAAAGTGGAATTCATATGTGTTTCTTTGGAAAGAAGCAGCTTTCTATAAATGTGGGGTTTAGAATACATAGCAAATATTTGACAGGAACAATACAAGCACGCTTGAAAACCATTTCTAAATGGGTTCTTAAAAGATGTATACTGGGAACTTCTGTCTTCACAGACCAGGAATGAGACAGTCATAAAGAAAGCCAAACATAAACCTTGACACCGAGTCAGTTCTTAGGTAGGTTAAGAAGTCCAGGGTCTCAAGGAGAGAGGGGTCTGAGGCTCTCAAGGAGGAGAAAAGGACATTTTTTTTTTCTACATTGCTTTGTGTTAGTCAATGTAACAATGTATCTTGCTCAAGGATGCTTCTCCTTAACAAGAACCTTCTGACTAATCTTGTTCTTAAAATTTGTATACTGTGGGAGCCGCCTGGTGAGACCTTTCTGTGGTTAGCTCTGAGCTTGTTAATTTAAGATGTATGTTGTGGGAGTGGGTCTGATCGAAGTGTATAAGGCCTCGCTGAGACTAGAGTGGGGCGTTCTCTGTTCCCCTTCTGACGTCTATGTCAGAAGCTCGCTCTGTCCATCTTTACACTTTAATAAAACTGCTACACAAAAGCTCTTGAGTGATCAAGCCTGGTCCCTGGTCCCAAAGCTCAATCTTCAGAGATCATGAATCTGATCTCACTCACCGTAAGCTATCAATACCACAGTACAATGCTGCAATACAAGGCTGGAAGGAAAAGTTAACAGGTGATTCCAAAGGTAGATCTTACAAATGAGGATGTTATGCTGTGACCCCCATGGATAGTCATCTGAAATATTTTGAAATAAGTACAGTGTATACTGGGTGACTGGATGAATCCAGACTGTGATGAGTCAACTGTGCTAAGGAGACAGACTCCAGGCAGAGACAGCAGCAGCCTGAGCACAGGTCGGATGGCAGAAACTTCTGGAATGCTCAGAGAAACGTGGGGTGGTGACATGAGTCTGAGAATGCCACGCAGGGGAGGGTGGAAACAGAAGGTAAGGCTGAGAGATCTGGGGAAAGATGGTGGATGGCTTTCAGTATCAGGTTGAGTTTAGAAACTTCTCTGTAGGAGAAGGGAGGCTTCTCAGTATATGAGGAGGGCATAATTATGGGGTTCAGTGAAGTATTACAGGGAGAGGATGGAGGTCGGAGGGACCAAGGGCAGGCAATGGATTGCAAACATTCAGGTCAAAGGGAACGTGGGACCAAAGCAGTGATAGCTGTGGACGGAGGTGGGGAAAAGAAACATTTCCGAGGAGGACGCAACAGGATTTGACTAGGGCAGTGAGGGAGGGGTGCCAAATCTATTCCGTGGTTTTGAGACTGAAAGGCTCTGTGGCGGTCTTAAAGATGATCACAGATCCTTGACACACCTCCCACTGAGAGCTGGGGTACAATTCCTGCCCCTGTGGGTCAGGAGCCATTCTTACTGACTCACTTGTAACTAAAAGGTGAAGAAGTGACACTGCACAACCTCTGGGGCGAGATCAGAAGGCACTGCCTCTGGCTTGCTGGGTGGAATGAGTGTTCTGAGCCACCTGCAGACACTAGCTTCATCATCGGAGCTGAGCCTAACCTTTGAGTCATCCTAACCAGGCACAGACGTGAGTAAAACATACCCGAACACGATTCCAGCCTTGATGAATTCTAACAGCAAATGACTCGTGGAAGGATAAAGCATTAAAAAAAAAAAAGGACTACTTGGTCTTCTAATCTGATACTCTTTAGCATGCAGAAGTTTTTATCTCATTAGTTACTCAGCTGAACAGAGTACAGTCATGAAGCAGAGGTTAGAAATTTGCTCCAAAGCATTTATATCCCTCCCCCAAATTTCCACCCTTTATGACCATCAATATAATGTGTAAGACAGCAGCAGTTAGGTGTCCAAGGCATTTAGAGGTGTACCCTGGGCCTCTAGCAGGCTCTATCAATACACATTTGAAACAAAAATTCACTCTGAAGAACAGCAGAATGATTTTCCAATAGTTATGCAATTCTGCTATTTTTTCCCCTATAGTCTCATCTATAAGAAAAAGACATGATTACTGAAGAGTATAAAAAACTGACATGTACCAAAAATTTATGAAATTTACCTTAGTCCAATGCCCAGACTCCAATAACCCCAAACACAAGGTTGGCAGATCTATATGGTAGCGACTTTTTATTGTAAAAGGCAAACTGAAGTATATTGAACATTTGCTCCTATATGCCTAATAATATATTTTTTTCATTTGTCCGACTTTATTGAATTATAAGTCATAAGCAAAATAAAATTCCATGATTTTAAGTGTCAAGCTCAATGAGCTCTGATAAATGTATACAGTCTGGTATCAGTGCCACAATCAATACACCAATGCACAGAATATCTGCATCACTTCAAAACATTCTTTTGTTCCCTTTCACAGTGAATTCCCCTACCCAGCCCCTAGCAATCACTGATATGCCTTCTCTTGTTAAGAGTTTTGACTTTTCTAGGTTTTCATGTAATGCAGTCATACAGTGAGTGTGTTCTCCTGTGTCTGGTTTCTTTTACTTAGCATAGCCATTTTCTGATATTCACCCATGTTGCTGCATTTATCAGCAGACGTTTCCTGTCATTGTGGAGTCGTATTTTAACATAAGGGTATCTTATAACCTGGTTATCCATTTACCTGCTGATGGGCATTTGTGTTATTTCCAAAGGGCTATTGAGAATAAAGCTGCTATGAAAACTCAAGTACAAAACTTACATTTTTCTTGGCTAAAAATATTCAGGAATGAGGAATTATGGTTTTAGTACCAAGAAATATTCATCTTTCCTAAATCAACTATCCTAGAAAAAATTAAAAATAGAAACCTTCCTTAGTTATACTTCATAACAAAATTTATCAGCATACTTGTGGGAAGAGAACTGAAGAAGTCATACATCTTCAAGCTCTGAAGAGTCACACACAACCATACATTCAACATATTCCAAAATAATGCTTAATAATGTGTAGGAAGATACCATTCCTTATAAACTACAATATATTATGAATAAAATACATTCATATTATTTGAACAAAGAAGTCTCAGCAACTCTGTTGTGATTTTCTCCTAGGAGCAAAGGTAAGACTTGCAGAATCTAATTTAAAAAGGGTGATTTCAACTAGTCCATCTTCTAAGAAATATGTTTATAAAATGCCTACATGCTTCTTACATTAGTTAAGCCTGCTCTAATTAGAGAAGGAAAATGTTTCTCACTTCCTAAATGAGAAACATTCCCTAAATTCACAACATCCCCCAGATTGTTCTTAGTCTAAACCTCTGTATAGAAGTGTCTGGAATAGAAGTGTGCAAATATCAGAATTCAAGGATATAAGCTTTCACGCTGAAAAGTGCATAGACTTTCAACATTGACAAAAATCAAAACTGTCACTTAGATATCGCTTGTTTAAATAACAGTGATGTCACTTTACAGTTAACTGTATGTAATCACTGAATTGTAACACATGCAGAGATTAAGAAAATTTCCAGTGTTTCTAAATATCTATCATTATAAAAATGAATATTTTACCAAATTATGGTCTCTAAAGATATAAAGATTATGATCTAAGAAACTTCAGCAATGACAAAGTAAAATTTTTACCTTCATTTCCAGCAGCTTTCTAAAATTACCATTCTAAATCTTATTGAATTAACAAAAATAAAAACAGATTTCTGTGGCAGAAACTAAATCTTTAAAAAATACATGAAGTAAAAGTAACATAAGAGGTTTCCTAAAACAAATTATGAGTTAGATCCCCTTAATCAATTCTCGGAAATACAACATCGTTGTTTGTAAACTTGTCATATAAAATGATTCTAAAGTACAAATGAGTTTTTACATCAACCAGTTGATAAGCTGCCACCTCACCACCCATCACCAACAGCATCTGGCGGAAGCTTCCGGTGCTTAAAACACATTTCACCACCTGTCAAGGAGGCAGACTCCAGGGTAGAGAAAGAAGACCGGAGCTCTAAGACACAGGTGACCAAGAGCCACGCCATGGGGGTGGTGTCGGCCAGTGGAACAGGAGGGGCGCTGAGAGTCCCCCAGGCCCCAGGAAGGCTGCTCTGTCTGCATCAAGGTACCCAGTCCCTTGGGTGGCGCAAAACTTCCAGAATTTCAGCTTCTTTGGAGTTCTCTGAGGGTGAATGCATGTACTCCCATCTATGGAGGTTTAAAACAGAAGCAAAAACATGTAGTAACAATAAAAAATAAATAAACAACATACACACCTCTTTATCTAAACTAAATTCTATGGGTAATAAAAAGTCCTATCACCCTTTGTCTCCACTAAGCTTTCAAAAAATATTTGCTGCTAAAGAAATAAAGTTTCTTAATAATTCATGGAGCATAGTTTAGCTAATATGAATATTCCAGAGCCAAAACACACTTTTACTACAATCGAGGGTTTTGTAAAGTATAGAACCTCAGGTGATCCATGGGCAGACTTTTTTTTTTCAGCTTAGTACTTCTGCTTTTATTTTAATGTGTTCATTTCTATTTATGACAAAAATGTTGGTTTGCCTTTAATTCTCTCTCTGAAAAAAATGAGTATAAAATTTAAGCAAATAATATGTCAGATTATATACAAATATATACAATGGTGAAAATGGCTAAACTGTAGTATGAAGTCTGGTAAACCTGGTTTAGACGGGGGGCTGGCAAACTTTGGGCTTCACTGCTGGTAGAAGACACGGGTTCAATCCCTGGATCGGGAAGATCCCCTGAAGAAGGAAATGGCAACCTACTCCAGTACCCTTGCATGGGAATTCCCATGGAGAGAGGAGCCTGGCAGGCTACAGTCTATGGGGTTGCAAGGAGTTGGACACGACTTAGCAAACTTTCCCTGTAAAGGGTTGAATAATAAGTATCTTGGGCTCTTGGGGTCACAGACATATTGCCATCTGTTGCCTATTCCTTTTCTGCCTGTGATTTTCTTATAAAGACAGCAAAGTCGAAACCAATGAAGTCTTTAGGAAAGCTCTTTGTGGTATCAATGCCCAGGCTCTGTAGGGGTCAGAGGACTGGGGGTGGGGTGGGGAGTAACTATCATTCTCATGAGTCATTCTTACCGGGCAGTGAGAGGTAAAGACATCAAGATGCTTTCGATCCTGGATCCCGGAGTGAAGAGGCCAAACTTTGTACCCCGATCGTAGAGCAGGTTAAATTCTACATACCTGAGATGAAGACATCAAATAAGATTAAGAGCTGGTGAGTAAAGTCTTACAATTAGTCAATAATAAGTACTTCATGGGGGGAGATGGGTTGGGGGGGGCGGTGTGGGGGTTGGTGGGCAACTTCCCACCGCCACACCCCCCAACCCATCAGCTGTAACTGGCACAGGAAACACCAATCTCATCAGCTGACTTTTCTCCATCCGGACAGGCGCAAAGAAAAGGGTATTCTATCCAGCAAACAAGAGGATATAGATTCAGCCCCAGCACAGAGCAGCTACAGAACAATAAGGTTATGTTTTCCAATAAATAAACAGGATCAACACAAAGCTAAGAACTTGAAGCCACAAAAACAATTAAGAAGAGCAAACGGCCCCCTTTATCAGGATAGAGCAGCTCTCTCTGGGCCTCCCCGAGAGTCTGAGATATTTGAGTCGAAGACTTCATTCCACTGCTAATAACTCACATGAACTAAGACAGTGTAAAGTTCTTGTAACTGAAAAGCCAAGAACAGTTAACAGAACTCTATCTATAGTTATTAACATATCCCAGATATTTCCTTTCCTTAAAGTAGTTTACAGCATTAATAAGCAGTCATACAATTCTGTCTTGCTGCAGATTGATGACAAAGTCAAAATGAAAGGTAGTAGTGATTTGCATTGCGGTGATTAGCTTTATTTTCTTAGAAAAATATCCTTAACATCAACTAAAACCTGGTTCAGGGTATAAGTCTTCCATTAACTGCCACAGAGTCACATCTAAACTCTGTCTGGCTTAAAAATCTGTGATTTCCTTTAACATCAAAAGATTCTTTATAAAAGGGTTTTTTCAAAAAAATAAATAAATAAAAGGGTTTTTTTCCTCCAACTTCTTGGAGATATTTCAAAAAGATCATTTCTACTAGCCAAAAGAATTGAACATGACTCATAAAGCTGAAAATTTCAATAAACAGTTCCCCCTTCAAATCATTTCTCAACTTCTTCAAAAACTAATCTCTTGGTCCAAACTTCCCTCAGATATTATTATCATTCATGCACTGGTTACTGTAATTTAATCACAACTAAAAAAAAAAAAAAACCCACATATTCTCTTGATTCTGACAGTGCTTCAATTTTTAGAAAGCACCCTTCACTGTGGAAACTTGCCAATGGCTCTGAGAAAATTTAAATAAATTACATTCATGGACCCCTTTCTACTTCTCATCATTTATCACCAATTGAGTTTTGTGCACTAATAACTAATACCTCTTTAGTCTGTTTCAAAAGATAACTTAAGTGAATCTTCTAAACTTCTTCCTAAGACCACAGAAAAAAAACATCAGTCTCTCAACTCCCTTTCTCACCCCTGATGTTATCTTTCTGAAACGTGATACTTAAGGGATGGCGGTGATTCTCTATCTGTACTGATGTCTTGTTCAGAGACCTTGTAAGGAGCTCCCAAATGAGCCTCTTGTGCTCACGAGAGAATCCTTGTTCTGCCTTCCTGTATGAGTGAACAATGTTCCTTCCTGTGTGTTAGCCTGACTTTCACCAGCTTTTGCTTAGACCTGATCTTTCCGATCCTTTCTGTACAATTATCCTCTCCGAGATATCCATAAACTATGAACCTCAGCCATTCCCTTCAATGTAACTGATATCTACATCATATCCTGCTTCCCTGTCCCAAAATACAACAAAACACGTACAGATGTTTAGTTTCTCTGAAAAAGAGACTAGAAGAGCACCTCCCAAGCCTGGAGGGTCGAGGTCTGGGGAGACCACAGAAGTCACAGGCCAAGCACATGTGCTCAGTCGCGTCTGACTCTCTGCGACCCTGTGGACTGCAGGTTGCCAGACTTCTCTGTCCATGGGGCTTCCCAGACAAGGACAATGGAGTGGGTTTCCATTTCCTCCTCCAGGGGATCTTCCCGACCTAGGGGTCCAACCTGCGCCTCCTGCATTGGCAGGCAGGTTCTTTACCAGCGTACCACAAGACCAAATGAGATCGCCAAAAGTCAAAAGGTAAGCAGCCTGATCACCACAGGAGAAAGCTGTGTTTGGGGCGACAGGAAGTGGGGAAGAGTAATACAGATAATGGGCTATGAATGCCATGTAAGAAAGTGACGTCAGGGCTCATAACCGCACAAAAGAGCTGGGGTTATCCTAAGTCCCAGAGTTGACTGCCATTTTAAGGCCCAGAGGTAAGGACAGTAGAAGGGGTCTCTCTGCAAATACAGTCACCCACCACACCACAGAAAATTAACCTAACACCCCACCCTTCTGCCAAATTCAAAAAACACGACATGCGATGATACACATAAATGGAACTCTCAAAATACGTTGTCAATTAATAACAATAATAAAACAAACAGAATAAGACATTATTCCTATGTCCAAAAAGTTTTAAAGGCTTCACCTCATGAGTAATCACAAACCCTGCTGGCTTTGCATTAAGAAATCTCATGTAAAACTAGAACACTGCACTTCCCACAGAGTTCGGTTTATTTATTCATTAATTTTTGGTTTCTCTTTTTTTGTTGTTTTACTTGTTTTGCTTTTTAAAAAAAAAATTTTCCAGAATTTTAATCTACCCTCTAGGGATGGTCTTCCCCTCTAAACTGTGAACATCTCTGCCCAAGATGGGCCCTGGCCATGGGGGCATATGATAAATGTCAAGAGGAAACGGAGGAGGAGTAAGGGTATATCTGGGAAATCATAGGACCAAAAAACACACCCGACCTAAAAAAAAAAAAATGCCCCTGTTTAATAAATGTCCGACGAGAACAAGATTAATTCTCATTTTCCCAAGGTTTATACACGGGGAGCAGGCAGGCACAGGCAGTTCTAAGCAAGAGCAAACGACAAACATTTATCTTTAGACTTGGGACAGTATCCAGGTGAACGTTTTCAGGGCATTAGCCTTATCTCCTTAAGTTCCCAAAGCTTCATACGCCCAAGACAGAATTAATATAAATGAGGAAATCCATTTTTGGAGGCATGGACCAGTAGGACACATGCAATTAAGACGGGACTGAGAAACCACTGTGAGCTGTTAAGAGTGCTAATCTGCAGCAGATTCACAATCACACCCCGGCTGAAGATGCCCTCCCGCGGGTCATCAAACTGAGCTCACCAACTCAACGCACAAAGCAGGGGAACATGGCGGGCATCGTGGCTGGAAACACTAACTGCTTAGCCACTCCCCCGGAGAAGGTCTGCAGGTTTTGAAGCCTCAGAGACCTGGTTCCACATCTGGGGTCTTTGATTTACCAGCTGTGTAAACTTGGGCAAGGGACTTACTTCGCTGAGACTAAGTTTTATCATCTGTAAAACGATGAATAGTTATACCAATTCCACAGGTTTGTGAAGAAAATTAGATGCAAACTGCCTAACCTACTGGCCAGCACATGTGAACAGTTCCATAACAAACAAATATCATCACAGTTCCGTAACGAGCAATTTCTAAAACAATCATTTTCATTATAATGACTTCCATGGAAACCTGAAGTTAAACAAAAAAAGGTATGATTCAGAATTTACAAAGCAGCAAAAACATTAAATGATTCTCCTACCTTGGCAGAAGGTTGGAAAGTATTGCTCGAAGACAGACTAAAAGAAATCAGCTGAATTAAATTCAACAAGTACTTACCATAAGTCTAGTATGAGTCTCTAAAGTACAGACAGATTAAACAGACTTTGCTCTTTTTATAATACTATTTCACAGTGTTTTTCTAATTCACTTTGTTATTTATCTAGTGATGAAAAGAAATCAGGGTGAACATTAACACAGCTCTGACAAAGTACTGCCCAAGATGACCATCACCCACTATTATTGCAGTTGCTCCACCCCACCCTCCCAGTCCCATCTCTTCTGACATGAGAGCGTCCATGCTCCCGTTGCCCACTCACCGTCCTCTTCGGAGCTGCTGCCACAGCTTCTCCTGGGGAGTGAAGGCGTCATTACAGTGCTTCTTCACGAGGGGGACATAAGAAGGAATGATAGCCTGGGTACAGCTCTCCACAAAGCGAAACACCTCCTCCTTGGATGGAGAGTCGAGGTCATCAAAAAAGATACCCCCGATACCCCTCCGCTCCCCACGGTGGGCTATAAAAAAGTAATCGTCACACCTGAAAAAAACAGCAAGACCACAGAAGGAAAGAGAGATGGGCGTGAAAATCAGTGTGAGCATTTCAGCTGACAGCACCATCCCTGACTAATGCCAGCACAGTGCCCTTTCTTTTTGTCCACATCTGAAATGAAACTAGAGTTTTAGACAGATTTCCTGCAGTTATTACCAATGCAGAAAATGCTTACACTTTTACCTACAAATCAACTAGGCAAGTGAATACATGTCTATCTAACGTGGCATTGTAAGACTGTTACTGAAAAGAAAAACAAAGAGTCCACTCTTAATACTCGTGTTTCTTAAAACAAGTGATGCTGCTGCCCTCGGAAGCATTGCTTCTTTCGCAGGAGGCAGGAACCCTCCACCAACAATGGCGCCAACCAAGCCCATGACCAGGTGCTAACCCCTAAGCTGCCTGAATCAGTTCTTATTCACCAAAGGAAGGTACAGTAAATTACCTCTAAGGTCTCTCTTAGCAACAAAACGTGATGACTCTACAGCATGCGTGACTCAGGGGAGGGCTGGTGGAGAGAAACGTTCAGAGGATGAGTCCTCAGAATGTTAAAGGTTGCCCTTATGAGCCGGCACACGAGACTATCAATCTATTCTAGTCTTCCCCATCTGTGCCTACTAGAGCAGATTTCCTAAGTCACTTCCTAACTGCTAAATCTGTGGTGCAGTTGGCTTCGTGGAAATAGTTGACTTCTTTCCATTATCTCGATAATAATGAGGGTTTGTAAACAGGAAAAATTGTACAAACAGAAACTAAAAACTACTGAACAGGTTATCGTGAAAATAGTCTTAATAGTTTAAAATTTTTTTAAAGGCGGGGAGCAGAAGACACAAATCCCTAGAACTGATGCACTGGTATAATTCCCCTTGACTGAAACTTCTTGACTTTTTTTCACACATACATTTTATTAACAGAGTTAAAGAACAGCCTGAGCAAGGCTGTAAAGCCAGCTTTAATGAAATCATACTATTTCCACATCTCTCTTCATGGGATTATGAAATTAAGAGATTTAACTTAATAGACTAAAAACTTTTTAACTAGCCTGCATCCGAGATATTTTCTTAATACGACTCAGATAAAGTTCTCCAGCAACAGGGATAAAAGGAAACCAAAAAAAAAAGAGAATACCCCATCCTCCTGCTGGAAGGAAGCTAATATGTAACAAAAAAACAATTCTCCCACCTCTGTGTCCATGGCTGTGCAGTGTTCAGTGATAATGTCAAATCAGAAAGCGGTTATGTAAATGTGTTATCTTTTCTGAGGATTTTAAAACTGAACTCCACATTCTTACATAAATAACAGCAAGATTCAACAAATATTAGCACTAAAAACAAAGCAAAAAACAACCCACCCCAAACCCTTTCTGTTCTTCCTTTTTCTAGAATGGCCTTTAGTTCTAAGCAGTGATGAGTACTTTATCCTTATTCCAGATAACTTATGCAGAGATTCCATTTCATACCTATCAAATACCCTGGGTAACTCTTTTCTTTACCATTAGAGTTTCTTTCACAAAGTTTCCAATCCCATTTTTCTCCTTGTACCCGATCTCCAGTACATCTGCACCTCTCCTGATGGTTCTCCAACTCTTCCCATGCGCTAACACATTTCTATGGCAACAATGATGATAATCCTCATGTGGGGTGAGGATTTAACACAGTAAGTCCCTTACATACGAACCTTCAAGTTGCAAATTTTCAGACTCTACATTTGCGCATGCCCAATGTTCTAAGCTAGTTCACATGTCTGGTGTACACTGCCACATGCGTGCATCCTCTGCAAGTACACGTGCTTCTGTGCACTTCATAGTAAGGTACTACATAATGTACAGTATCCTTATTCCAAGCCCAGGATGCTTAGAAGCAAGCATAAAAACGGCAGTCTGTAGCTGGTACTACACTGTACTTTTCAAGGTACTGTACTGCAAGATTAAAAATGTTTTATTTCCTGTGTTTGTCTATTTATGTATTATTTGTGTGAAAAGCATTATAAATTTATTCCAGTACAATACTATATGACTGACTGTATTACCTGGGTACCTAGGCTAACTTTGTTGGACTTATGAACAAACTGGACTTATGAACGCACTCTTGAAATGGAACTTGTTTATTTGCAGGGGACTTACTGTATCCCACCTTAGGATTAAAAAGCCTCTGATTCTCAGGCATAGATCACCTTCAAGTTTATATACTAATCATCTGGTTTAATGTTATAAGCATGTAAAACTGGTATCTCACTTCTGCTGGGCAAAGAAAACAGTTCAACCTTCATAAGCTGCGAAAGGTATGTAGTGACACAGTAGTGCCTTCAGAAGCTATAGAAGGAAGGGTAAACATGTAGGGATTGTGAGAAGTTCAATAACTTTACCTACCACTTTTTAAATTTGGGATAGAGATCTGGACCATGCTGGTCACATGCCTCCTTGAGAGTCCTGTGAAAATGGACTGCATCCTCTTGGTTCAAGTATGTTGGGGTAAGGTCACATCCACCGCCAAACCACCACAGGGTGTTACCTACCAAATCAAGACACGTGATTCAAGTGGATGCTGCTCAAAAGGAAAAGTTAGATACATTGCTTTAAATGCCATCACCTGCAGAGACATGCACAGCAGTGGCATGCACTGCTCAGAAGTTTGGACAGGCTAATAGTCAGCCCAACCAATGGCACACACGTAGGCTGGAACTATATTTACATCATGAGGCATGATCAACTGTACCCCATCTTAAAGGCCAGTGCGCTATCCATTGCGCCACAGAGCCGGACTATACCCCATCTTAAAGCCACTGATAATGCACTGAGGACCAGCAAAGCTACGCATGTGGAAAATAATTTCCAAAAGCAAGTTCTCAATGGCAACTTAACACTGCAAGTGAGGTTTCCCTTTGTTTGTAATAAACTAGTATTTGCAAAGAACCCTATGTGCACTTTTAGTTCAGGTTCATTACACCATTCCTTGTGTGTTGGAGGAAATATGAGGACATCAGAGTCCAGTCAACACTGCTTTCACTTTTCATGTCTAGTGTATATAATCCATTGCACCCGCCAAGGAGTAAGCCTTCACGTGCCTCCTGAAACAATTAAGACTGTACTTGCTTTTTCTTGACGTTAGATGTTATGCCTACTCATTTTGCACAATAATACTTTCCACAGCTTGAGACGCTTACCATCAGCTTCTTCCACCTCAAAGTATCTGTAGTTGAAATGGATAGTAGGAGTATGAGGATTCTTGGGGTGAATGACAGAGCTCACGCCCATGGCAGAAAATGGCAATTTACCTGGAAAAGAATACAGAGAACTGCACTTGAATACCTGGCTTGATACAAATTAACTCCAACATGGTTTCTGAATCAATTTTCAAAGGTTGTTTTTTTAATTTCTCTCTTCAAACATAATTTTTAAAAAATAATTGTGAGGAATCCCCAGGTGGTCCAGAGCTTAGGACTGCTCGCTCTGATGGCCAAAAGCCTGCAGTTCAATCCCTGGTCAGGGAACTAAGATCCCACATACCTCAAGGTCAAAAAATAAACAAACAACTGTTAACATTTTAGCACACGTGCCTATGTGCAAATGTGTGTGTGTGTATATATATATATATATACCTACATATGTTCATGTGTGTGCCTAGTTGATCAGTCATGTCCAACTCTTTGCAACCCCATGGACTGTTGCCTGCAAGGTTCCTCTGTCAATGGAATTCTTCAAGCAAGAATACTGGAGTGGGTTGTCATTAAAAAAAAAAGTAACTGTGAACAGGCTCATCTGGTATATGAACCTGAATGGAATTTTACAGAAGCAATGTTAATTTTACAAATAAAACTTATGGGGAGAAAAGGTTTGCAGGAACTATTAAAGGCTACTGAGATTCTCTGCATATTAAAAAGCAGAGACATTACTTTGCCAACAAAGGTTCATCTCGTCAAGGCCATGGTTTTTTCAGTAGTCATGTATGGATGTGAGAGTTGGACTATAAAGAAAGCTGAGCGCTGAAGAATTGATGCTTTTGAACTGTGGTGTTGGAGAAGACTCTTGAGAGTCACTGGGACCGCAAGGAGATCCAACCAGTCCATCCTAAAGGAGATCAGTCCTGAGTGTTCATTGGAAGGACTGATGTTGAAGATGAAACTCCAATACTTTGGCCACCTGATGCAAAGAGCTGACTCATTTGAAAAGACCCTGATGCCGGGAAAGATTGAGGGCAGGAGGAGAAGGGGATGACAGAGGATGAGATGGTTGGATGGCATCACTGACTCAATGGACATGAGTTTGAGTAAACTCCGGGAGTTGGTGATGGACAGGGAGGCCTGGCGTGCTGTGGTCCATGGGGTCGCGAAGTCAGACACAACTCAGCGACTGAACTGAACTGAACTGAGATTGTCTGATTTACCATCTTTTGCCTTCAGCAGTTTTCCTCTGCTTCTCATTTGTTTTGCTGCTTCCTCAGAAAGGTTTCCATGAACGACAGAAATGCTAACCCCAGCCTTTTCAAAAACATGCCCATCTTGAAGTACACAGCTGATGCCACCACCTCCTGTGAACAGAAATGTAAAACGAAGAGAGAGTGTAAGGGTATGTGCAAAGCTGACAACTACTGCTGCAAGAAGATGGTGGGATTAGGAGTTATTTTCCTTTTCTACTTTCCAAATCTTCCATAATATCAATATATTTATAACTGTTAAGTACAATAAAATTAGATAACCAGCTTAGCTCTGTGACATTTGCTACTGACTATAAGCAAATATTTTAACTCTTCATATCACCATTTCTTCTGTCATTGTTTGCTGTTGCTTAGTTGCTAAGTCCTGTCTGACTCTTTGCAACCCCATGGACTGTAGCCCACTAGGCTTCTCTGTTCATGGGATTTTCCAGGCAAGAATATGGGAGTGAGTTGCCATTTCCTTTTCTAGGGGATTTTCCCGACCCAGGGTTGGAATCCACATCTCCTGCATTAGCACGTAGATTCTTTACCACTGAGACACCTGGGAAGCCCCTACATCCTTACATCATCCTCTAAAATAAATCACTGAAATAGTTTCCCTTCAAATAAGACCATTCAGAACAGCATCTATTTGTTATGGTATGTGAGAAAACTAAGATTAAAAACTGGAATGAATATATTTGAAGAATATATTATACCAAATTTAAGAGTTCCACATTGTTTCAATTGTTTTTCTCTCAGTGTGTTGTTTGCCTTTTAATTTTGCTTACAGGTAATTAAAAAACAGTAGATATTTGAATGCTTAAGGGATTCAGAGGCTTAAACTGAGACACACATTAGCATTTAGGTATATGACCTTTAAGGCTTCTCAGGTGGTGCTAGTGGTAAAGAACCCACCTGCCAATGCAGCAAATGTAAGAGAAGTGGGTTCAATCCCTTTGTGGGGAAGATCCCCTGGAGAAGGAAATGGCAATCCACTCCAATATTCCTGCCTGGAGAATTCCTTGGACAGAGGAGTCTGGAGGGCTACAGTCCATGGGGTTGCAAAGAGTCAATATGAGCTTTACTCCCAGTAGCTGGTATGTTTGTTTTTTTAGGACACTAGAATTGTTTCCTGAAGTTTCATGTTTGGCTTGTTTTATTTCTAAGAATTTTTAGAGCTGGATGGGATCCAGTACAACAACCCTTGTATATTTCAAATGAGAAAACTGAGGCCCAGAAAGGAAAACACTGTCTCCAGAAACACATAACTAGCAAATGGCCCAAACAATCCGTCTCAGTGCCTTCTAAGCATCAAGCAGTACCTGCAGCAGTTCATATTTATTCATGTTATTTTATCCTTACAATACCCCCATATATAATTTCATTTCATAGATGAGGAAACGGAGGCACAAAAAGTAACTCTGGAAGGTCACACAGCCAGTCCAGGTTGTCTCCTGAATCAACAGTCTTCACTTAAAAACATTACAAGATAGGGAATTCCCTGGCAGTCCAGTGGTTAGAACTCTGAGAGTAACTGCTGAGGGCCAAGGTTCAGTTCCCCATCAGGGAACTAAGGTCCGATAAGCCATGAGGCAAGGCCAGGAGGAAAAAAAAAAAAACAGGCTTAAAAAAAAAAGCTACAAGATGGAAAACACTAAGAAAACCAGATTTAGTTTCATTTAAAATCAATGCGTCAATATCACCATCCAAAACCAGCGGATAAATTGCTGTAGTGTTCCCAGGTAAGAAGGATCAAAAATCCTTTAAGTTTATGACCAAGATACAGGGCTTCACTGTATAGGTAATAACATGAATACACGACTCCATAAGAACTGGGTTTTAACACTCAAGTATTTTGCCAACGGAAGTAAAGATTCTTCTAGCAGGAAATATGATGGGTGCACTTGGCTGAACTACAAGCCATTTCTTGCGAAACCTGGGGAAAAGACACAATGGCACAACACCCTCCGCGGGAGGAGTCTAGCTGACAGTAAGGAACACACTTTCTTTTTCCATCTCCAGAGAAGGAAAATGGGTAAAAGAACCCGGAGGAAGAGGTGAAATGTAGAGACAAATCTATGCTCAATTAGAACCTTGGGCATCCTTGCCTGTGGGTTAAAACTGGCCTTAAGACTTCTTTGAAGAGTACCGTATAAAATTGCAAAAGAGTTTTGAAAGGTCCAGGACTAGAGTGACAGCAGGTCTGGGTCCACACTTGCAAGCTGAGGGCTGATGGCCCTGTCAGCGTCAACCGTTTCAAAGGTGAACCTTTTAACCTGGCAGCCGCTATGTAGGTACCCCTTCCCTGCTCTCATTCCTTATTCTGAGTCATTTTCTCCCCGCAAACTAAAGCCCGACCTCTCTTCCCCATCTCCACCTCCCCCTAGGGGCCGACCTCCTCACCTTCCTTCCTCTCCCACCGGTCCACAGAGAAGCGAGCGCCCCCGTCCACCTGTGCCAGCGCCTGGCACACCTGGGCCTGGGTCTCCAGTATCAGCAGCTCCATCTTGCTTTTCATGTCGTCCGGCCGCCTCCGCAGCTCGCGCAGGTCGGTGACCGGCGGGGCCATGAAGCAGCGGCAGCGGCGGGCCAGCTCATCGTCCTCCTCCTCCTCGGGCCTGCCGGGCGATGCGCTCTGCGCCCCGGAGCTCCTGCGCACCATCTCCGCCCGCTCCACGTGCCCGAAGGCGGCGGCGGCCAGTCCCACCAGCCCCGCCAGCCCCGCAGCTAGCCGAGTCCTCAGCCGGGAGCCGCCTCCCACCCGGGGGCCGTACCCCAGGCCGCGGCTCTGCTCGCGGCAAGCGGTTCCAGGGGGGCGGCACAGGCGTCCGGCTGCGCAGCGCGGGGACCAAGCGCGCAGCTCCCCGCAGGCGCGCAGCTCCCCGCAAGCGCCCCGCACCGCGCGCCAGCAGGGACCCGCGCTCAGCCAGCGCAGATGCACCGCCATGCTCTCGCGCGGTCACCCGGAGCAGTGCCCGCCTCCCGCACGCCGGCCCCTGAGCCCCCCGAGATCCCAGGTGGCAAGCGGCGCCGGTACTGGGAACCTTTGCTGGAGAAGAGATACTACCGGGTCGGTCCCGGCGGCGGCGGGCGGGAAGCGGGGGATGCCGGGATCTGTAGTCCCGGCTCCTATCGCCGCCTGCAGGGGCGCGCCGGCGAGATAAAAAAAATCCAGCGTCCCCAGAAGGGCGGGTCCCGTGGGAGGAGAGCTGGGGTGCCGGGGAGGGGCGGGCAGGGAAAGCGAAGGCAGAGATAAGAGAGACCTTCCTGTCACGTACAGCCTCTGTCGGTTCAACCAATCAGAGGGAGAAGCCGCGCCGAGGGCTAAACAGAGCAGAAATACGGCCAGAGACCCCTGCCCCGACTTTTATTTTTAAACCGAGTTGCAAATCCTGACTTGTGTTTCCCTTTGTCCCCACTTCTAGTCCTCAAAGGCTTCTAGAGCTTGGACGATTGTGGGGTGGGAGGGTGGGGAGCCTGGGAAATTTCTTAGCAAAGAACTAGTTTTTAAAGGGAGTAAGGAAAGCTGTAATAGTTAAAGGGCTCATAAGAAAATTCTAGGAAAAGAATCTCTGGGATCAACTACATAGCACAGGTCTAGCATTAAAATCTTCCCAGGCCTTGTCTAGACAGTGCCCACTCAATTGTTTTACAAATAAGAAAAGCAAAGTATTGCCCTGTTCCGGGGGTGTGTAATTTCCTCGGGTTCTGTCTCCTCACAACAAAAATTTGAAGCCACAGACAGACCAGCGTTACAGCCCTTGGACAGAGTGTCACAGCCCTGGGTTGGACTAGTGTTTCAGCTCTGTGTTACATCTGAGTTTTATTTAGCTAGTAAAGGAAAAGACATCCTCAAGCTGTGAGGGTTTGCTGACTCAAAAGACGGGAAGAGAGGCCCCCAGCCCAATTTTGGCTCCTCTTTTTATACGTTTTTTTCTCCTCCCCCCGGGCCTGCCCTATGTAAATTAGGCTAGCCAGGAGTGCTGTTAGTTTTACCTGAGGTCCTCATTCTGGTCCTCAGACCTTCCTTTGTTTTATTTTCGTGGGCTTTCCCCTTCCTTGTCTTTTAGCCACCGCCATTCTGGACTCCTTTTTCCTATTCTAGCTACCTAACTGTACCAAAATAGCATAAAACTCATGACATTGTGTGTTTGAGTGATCAAGGAATAGAAATTTAAAAATACTTGTCCTACAGTTGTAGGATCCTGCCAAGTATTTTTCACGCTTAGAACAACTTCTGTTAACTAGGCAGGACATTCGCCTACCCCCCTCAACACACACACACACCACTTTAGAGAAATAAGGAAAGAAACTAACAGAGATTTGATAGATTAATTTTTTTCCTGTATCCATGCCACAGTTCCGTTGTGTCTGGACATGTAAGTGTAAGAAGGAGGGACTTCCCTGGCAGTCCAGTGGTTAAAGGCCGCCTTTTCACTGCTGTGGGCCCTAGTTGGATCTCCAGGGGGAAACTAAGGTCCTAGAGCCAGGCCATGAAGCCAAAAGAAAAATAAAAATAAAACTGTAAGAAAAGAGAACAGCATCAAAACATGTGTATTATCTAGGGTGAAACAGATCACCAGCCCAGGTTGGGTGCATGAGACAAGTGCTCGGGCCTGGTGCACTGGGAAGACCCAGAGGGATCGGGTGGAGAGGGAGGTGGGAGAGGGGACCGGGATGGGGAATACATGTAAATCCATGGCTAATTCATTTCAATGTATGACAAAAACCACTGCAATGATGTAAAGTAATTAGCCTCCAACTAATAAAAATAAATGGAAAAAAAAAACTGTAAGAAAGACTGTCATGGGCTAATTTGTCCCTTAAATCTCCAAGATGATTTTAATTTCTAGTAGGAGATAATTAAGATATTGGTTGTGGTCTCTACATTTTTTTCTTTGTGGCTAGATGTAGCAATGGCATTTCCATGGCTATAGGTCAAACCAGATGTTCAAGGCAGATATTTTATCATCCACAGATAACTGCATCCAGTGGCTCTCACACAAAGACCATTCTTGGCTGGGTGAGTGCACTTGACTTCCTAGCAGATTCAATGAGTGTTAGATGCCTGGATTAAGAAGTGGATAAACTACATTAGGGGAAGTTTTAGCCACATTATAACTTGCTGGGAGGCTGAGTTGGCAAAGGAAGAGAAAGATAACTATCACTGTATAACGTGACCCACAGCAGGGAACATGGGGGCCGAGTGAGCACCAGGAGGGCACCGAGCCAAGCCTGGAAGCCTGGTAGGCCTTTTGGCAGAAGAGAAGCAGAGCTGAAGACGCTTAAGGCGGTTTGGCCCTCAGCAGGGACAGGGAGAGTCTGGGGGCCGCGCGGGTGAGGATAAAGAAATGTTGTTGCCGAAGTCAACTTAGTTGCTAAGTCATGTCCAACTCTTCGTGACCCCCATAGACTATAGCCCACCAGGCTCCTCTGTCCATGGGGTTTTCCCAGGAAGAATACTGGAGTGGGTTGTGTCACGCAAGTGTATGCTCCTCGGTTCTTTGTCTCGTCACAACAAAAATTTGGAGTGACGGACATTAAAGCCCCTTGGAGGGTCACAGCTCTCGGAGGACAGACCGTGTTATAGCTCTCAGGTCTCAAACGGGCCGTGTTATAGCTCTTAAATAAATCAGTGTTACAGCTCAGTGTTACAGCTCTATTTATTTAGATAATAGCAGGAAAATCCATCTTTGAGGCATGAGGGCACGTTGATCCAAAGATGCGAAGAAAAGATCACCCCATCGTGTGGGGGAGAGAGCGAGAGAGAGTGAAAAAAAAAGAGAGAAGAGGGCTTTGGCTCCTCTTTTTATATGTTTCTCTTTCCCTGGGCCTGTCTTATGTAAATTGGGCTTAGGCAGCAGCGTTGTTTGTTTTACCTGAGGTTCTCACTCCAGTCCTCGGACCTTCCTTTGTTCTATTTCCGTGGGCTTTCCCTTCCAGGTCTTTTAGCCACCGCCATTTTGGACTCTTTTTCCCTATTCTAACTACCTAACAGTTGCAGTTTCCTTCTCCAGGGGATCTTCCCAACCCAGGGATGGAACCTGTGTCTCCTGCATTGGCAGGCACATTCTTTACCACTGACCCACCAGGGAAGCCCAAAAGAAACATTAGTGGGCTATTAACCCTTCTTGGGTGGTCTAGACCACTGGAAAGAATACCTCAAGATGTAAGAGAGGCAGTGAAGGGCAGATGGTGTCTGTGTTCAGAGAAGAAAGATCCACTGGGCAGGCTGGGACCTCAACCGCATCGGGGATACTCTCGCTGCATCCTGGATTCCAGGCCAGTGCACCAGCCCACGGTCCCTAATCACTGCTAATCCCATTCCTGCCGCCCCTCTCTTCACCTGACCAACTCTTGTGTGCCTTTCAGAACTGGGCTCTGGCCTCACCTCCCATGATGTCATCCCTGACACTCCCAGGTTGCCTTGGATAGCATCTTCTCCTCACCTCAGCCTCTGTGCTCACCTCTACCTGATACTTGTCCTACAGACGACAATGTCGGTTTACCCAACAGACTGTGAGCTTCATTAGAGCAGGCTCTTTGTATCCCCAGCGCCTACCACAGTGCCCAGAAGGTAGTTGGCCTTGAATGTTTATAGAATGAATGAACAGAGGGCAGACTAGATTGGAGAAATGGCCAGGTGTTCTGAAGGAGTCACGAAGAGTGTTGTGAGACAGTGAAATGGGGGTAGGGGGAAAAATGAATGAAGGGAGTTAAAAGATACAAACTTTCAGTTATAAAATAATTCTGGGGCTGTAAGCTACAGCATGGTGACTATAGTTAACAATACTATATTGTATATTTGAAAGTTGCTAAAGGAGTAGGTCTTAAAAGTTCTTATCACAAGAAAAAAATGTTAACTCTGTATGGTGATGGATGTTAACTAGCTTATTGCAACCATCATTCTGTAATAGATACATGTTTATAAAATCATTATGTTGTACACCTAGAATCAATTTAATATTATAGGTCAATTATACCTTAATTAAAAAAAAAAACAGAAAAAGAACTGTAACTCAAGAAAGTGTTTCTTTGCCTTTTCTAGATGCCTGTGATGGAATTTGACTGAGCCTGGTTGTGATGAATGAACTTCATTAATAAAAAGGAAACTCTCTGGCCTATTAGTGCCTTAATTCTGGGAATACCCATAAGTTAGTAAAAGATAAGCAGACACAGGCTGTTTTGAACATTTCTCCAGGCAGATAGGCTGGTCTTGAGCCCAGCTGTCTGCTAGTTTCCAGATTTCCACCGCTCCCCATCCTTAGCCTTTCTATGCACAGGGCCTCTCTCATTTCTTCGTCTGGTTTCCAGTGCCTTCCCTACCCTCAGCTTGTTATGCTATGCTTGAAAAAGACCTTAACAGCCTGATCAGTGCAAATTTTAACCACAATTCCTAGGGATTCAAATGGTCTTCAGGGCAGACACTAGTATGTAAGTTTTATTTGTCAGTGTGGAGTAAAAGACAAGCCCTAATCAAGCAATTTCAAGCATCAGAAAGTTGACGGGGATAAAATCTTTTAAGTTTACAGTAAGTAGTAAGACGTCAGGTGTAAGGTAGAGGTTCTCATCTGACTAGCCTTATTCAAGGTCACAAGGTATAGGTACATTATCAGTTTTCAAATCCACGTGCTTTGCAGAATCCTTATGGTCTTCCCCTCCTCTATGCCCCAAAGTTGTCAACTAAAAACACATTTCACAACCTAAATATTAAGAGTTATGTTTCACAGATCACCAGCCCAGGTTGGATGCATGAGACAAGTGCTCAGGCCTGGTGCACTGGGAAGGCCCAGGGTGATCAGGTAGAGAGGGAGGTAGGAGGGGGGATCGGGATGGGGAATACATGTAAATCCATGGCTGATTCATGTCAATGTATGGCAAAAACCACTACAATATTGTAAGGTAATTAGCCTCCAACTAATAAAAATAAATGGAAAAATAAATAAA